CAGGCAGCAAGGAGGACAGAGTTTTTATGGGTTTGGAAAGCTTTGATAAGATGTTTAAAGAATCTCATGGAAGACGACCCTAAATCTAAATCCCTCTATTTCTAATAGGCAGAAAATGCAATTAACCGTCTTTCCCTGGAGTTGTAATATAGCAGGCTCCAGCAGGTGTGTTACTATTGCAATATCAAAATAAAAACTCTAGTCAGCCTTTCGCTATAAAAACAAGTGAAATGCAGAGCAGATGCTGTAATAACCATTAATTTACATTCACCACCTATATTTGTTATAAAAGTAGATGAGGACACTGGAAAAACAAGTTATTTTTGGCTCTTCCATGCAGTATCACAAGAAAGCTACTGTAATGTTTTTAGCAGAGCAATGAATACATATTGGCCAAATTTATCTCTGCTATAACCCTGCAGAAATGTAGAATGAATTTAGTCCTAAATTCCACTTTGTGGAAGGGAGGATAAAATTAGAGGCATTTATTGAACATCACCTGAAGTTTTACCAGATCTGATACCAAACTAACTTTATAAAACTTCACAAGGGAAACAGAATATGGAGATTGTACCTAAATCTTACTGCTCAGAATCTATATTAGTCAGTTCCTGTTAGAAACAGGTTTGAATGAGTTGTGTAATAACCTAGAACCAGAGGAACTCAAAAGGACGGTAGCATTTCTTGGATGTGATTTCTGTAAGACTTCTGTGCTTAGTCCTCAGGTTTTTGTACCGATGTAACAATATGGCATGTTCCTGCATGAGCCACATGTAAGCGTGGACACATGGCTACTGGGTGAAAGGGCCAACAGTACCTTAGATTGTGCAGTACCTTTCAATTGGGGCTGAACTGGTGCATTTACAATTAAATGAACTTTGCCATAGGTCATTTTAAGCGTGCTATTTATTAGTTTTGAGAGGTGAAAGCAGAAAGCTCAACCAGCCTTGTTGGTTTACCAGAATGGTTGAAAGTTAAAGCACAGCGTTCAACTCCTGAAGTATTTTGTCTTTAAACACATGGGACCTGTGTCACCTCTGTCTTTGCTGTAATATTTGACAGCCCTTTCTACTAATGGCAAAGTATAAAAACAAGTGAAATAATTTCAGAATGATTCCTGGTTTCATTTTTTTCATGAAATACTGGAATTAAACCAGAGTTTTGACTGCTCTGCAGAGTTGTGGTTTTATATTGAGGCTACAATCTAACAGATTGCTGTTCTAATAAAATCAAGGCACAAGTCTTTTTCCTCTCTGATTGTTATTCATACAGGTGGGTGCTTTTGGTATTTTGCTTTTATTTGCCTGTATTACAAATCTGATTTTTTTGGAAGGCCCTATTATATATCTGCCTCAGTTTTGAATGGAACCTTGATTAATGTCTTTTACTGGTGGCTTGCTAGACCTGTGAAACACATCAGTGGGAATTGTTTCAGGCTGGCTGTGAAGGCAAGCTCTTGTGGGCTTCCAGCTAAGAGAAAAAAGGTACTCACACAGAAAATTATCAAAGGTTCACTTTAGTAGAAAAAATGGTTTTTGTGCCATCGTTGTTGAAAAGTTCAAAGGTTTTTCTTTTCCCCCTGATTTTTCAGTGAAAACACCTGAGCAAATTCACCACAAATTTCCTGGTAGATTCAGTTCACAGTAGGCATTTCTCAGAGAAAAAAAACATTGGGCTTGAAATCTGTTTTTCTAACTGGAAGTGTTACCGTTGTGCTGTGTTATTTTTTAGTAAAAAAGCCAGTGCCTAAGAGTTTCATGCTGAGCAATTTTGAGCGGGGTGAGATAAGTAATCATGGCAGTCAGGTGAAGTTCCCGATGACTGGAAAAAGGGAAATATAACCCCCATTTTCAAGAAGGGGAAAATGGATGACCCAGGGAATTACAGACCAGTCAGTCTCACCTCTGTGCCTGGCAAAATCTTGGAGCAGATTCTCCTGGAAGGCATGCTAAGGCACATGAAAAACAACAAGGTGCTTGGTGACAGCCAGCACGGCTTCACTAAGGGGAAATCCTGCCTGACCCATTTGGTGGCCTTCTATGATGGGGCTACAGAACTGATGGACAGGGGTAGAGCAGTTGATGTCATCTACCTGGACTTGTGCAAAGCGTTCGACACTGCCCCACACGACATCCTTGTCTCTAAATTGGAGAGACATCAATTTGACGGATGGACCACTCGGTGGATAAAGAACTGGCTGGGTGGCCGCACACAAAGAGCTGTGGTCAATGGCTCAATGTCCGGCTGGAGACCGGTAACAAGTGGTGTCCCTCAGGGACTGGTGTTGGGAAAGGTCTTGTTTAACATCTTTGTCGCTGACATGGACAGTGGGATTGAGTGCGCCCTCAGCAAGTTTGCCAATGACACCAAGCTGTGTGGTTCGGTTGATATGCTGGAGGGAAGGAATGCCATCCAGAGGGACCTCAACACGCTTGTGAGGTGGGCTGATGCCAGCCTCATGAAGTTTAACCATGCCAAGTGCATGGTCCTACACCTGGGTCGGAGCAATCCCAGGCACAGCTACAGGTTGGGCAGAGAAGAGATTCAGAGCAGCCCTGCGGAGAAGGACTTGGGGTGTTGGTCAATGAGAAAATGAACATGAGCCAGCTGCAGTGTGCGCTTGCAGCCCAGAAAGCCAACCGTATCCTGGGCTGCATCAAAAGGAGCGTGACCAGCAGGTCAAAGGAGGTGATCCTGCCCCTCTACTCTGCTCTTGTGAGACCTCACCTGGAGTATTGTGTGCAGTTCTGGTGTCCTCAGCATAAAAAGGACATGGAACTGTTGGAACAAGTCCAGAGAAGGGCCACGAGGATGATCGGGGACTGGAGCACCTCCTGTATGAAGACAGGCTGAGCAAGTTGGGGCTGTTCAGCATGGAGAAGAGAAGGCTGCATAGAGACCTCATAGCAGCCTTCCAGTATCTGAAGGGGCCTATAGGGATACCAGAGAAGGACTCTTCATCAAGGACTGTAGTGACAGGATAAGGGGTAATGGGTTAAAACTTAAACAGGGGAAGTTTAGATTGGGTATAAGGAGGAAATTCTTTCCTGTTAGGGTGGTGAGGCACTGGAATGGGTTGCCCAGGGAGGTTGTGAATGCTCCATCCCTGGCAGTGTTCAAGACCAGGTTGGACGAGGCCTTGGGTGATATGATTTAGCGTAAGGTGTCCCTGCCCATGGCAGGGGGGTTGGAACTGGATGATCTTAAGGTCCTTTCCAACCCTAACTATTCTATGATTCTAAGTAGTCAGACAGTGACTTGCAGTGATTCTCCCTCACCCATCAAATATACAAGGAGAGAATGGCATCTCTGTATGTGTCATTTTTCAGTGGCCATGTGTGTTAGCAGGGTTCTGGCTTTAACCCTGACACAGAGGGATATTCACACAACGTGACTGTGGCTATTTTACATTGCCAGTTGCTTTCCCTTCACTCCTTTGGTTGTCAGTGGAAAGCAAATACTTCTCTGGAGGGCAATTCAGAAAAGGAGCCTAATTTAGTTGTGCAGAATTGGTCTCTGGAGAATCTCTACTTCTCTCCATTGACTGTAAAGGGCATCTACATTTGAACTTAAAGATAGATGGTGGGAATACTTCCTTCTTTTTTTTCCCCAGCTTCCTCAGTAGTTCTGACCTGATTTTAAAGGCCCTGAGTAACTGGATCATGTGATGTTTCTTCTCGAGAGCTGCACACAAGGGAATGCATTTCACAGGCCAGATTTGAAGGGCCTGGATGCTTAGACCCAGTGGATTTAAATGACATAGGATCCAAAGGTTGAATCTCTATAAGCAACTGGTAATGGACTACAAAGATAATAATCGTTAAGCTATACCAAGAGTGCAGAATTGATCTTGAGCAGCTACCTGGGGCAGGAAGTAGGGGGGAAACACATGCCATGTTGTGGACAGGTATTTATATACAAATTGCTGTCTGGAGAGGAAACTAACTTTGTTTGCATTGGGCACAAAGCCACAGAATGGTGTTTCCACGAAAATGGCAGTCCAACAAAAGTTACATCTCCATCAACAGGTAATGCAGTATAAAGCGAGTAGATAGGTGGGATGAAAGAATGGGTGTTGAGCATCTCACATCCACTATGCCGGTTTCAGGGGGTGAGGCTGTTGGGGCAAGGAGGGCTGTTGTTCTTTGGACTAGCTTTATTCTGGTCCTGTGGACTGGACCACTTGAGTGGCTGGTTGCATTTGGTGCTCTGATTGTATGTTCTGATGCAGTTTTGTCCTAAAGGAATCCACAAGGTGCATCGCAGGCTAGTACAGTGATGACTGGGAGATGCGCATCAGAAGTGCTTTCTGAATCCAAATCAAATTGCTAATGTAGTCCTACCCAAAGACACTTTAAAGGGACAGACATTTATTTTAAGCTTCCTGAATGCCCTTTGTACAGCTGAGTAGATTTGCTTGAATATTTTAATCAACTTTGTTAAATTGAAGTTAATTTCCTTCAGAATGCTTCTCTCTAATTTTTCCTTCACCCCCCCTCCCTAATTCAGTGAACTCCTTTGCCTGCCCTTAAGAACATCAGAGCCTGGTACATGACCACCTTACATCCCAATGGTCAGCTGGCTGCAGCATGCCATAGGATGAGATGTTACTCCTGGTTTAGCTATATTTTGTATTTCCATTGAGCAGAAATCAGAAAGTACCCAGAGCTGGAAAAATTGTGAGTGACACACACAGATCTTTCACAGTATAAGGAAAGGAAGAAAGGTGACTGTAATAAAGGGTCAAGCTTGCTGTATTGTGGCTTGTACCTCTGACAGAGGGAAGAGTATTACTGTCTGGTAAGGACTGCAGAGCTTCAGCCAGTGATGAGGTGTTTCATGAACTCTGAACTAAAACCCCAATTCAGACATGTCTTAGTTACCTTGAAGGGGTGCCAACACACAATCTACACATGGTAGCAGAAAATCCATTTTCTACTTTTGTAATTTTTTTTATTATACACTTTTGTCCCTTTTGCTTTTATGTTTTCTCTAGTTACTTTAGTCCAAACCATGAAACAAATACTACAAGCTAAAATGGTTGTAGTATGTATTCCCTCTCATCCTTTATGTACAGCACCATAGCCTAATGGCATGTATGCCGTTTAAGGTTCCCATTAGCTTTGTGAATAGCACAAAACAAATATTACCTTATGCTTCAGACAGGATAACATCTAAAGGCATTAACTCTACAAGAACTTGGCCAGATTTTCAAGTATGGGTAATTAATGACCTACAAACCCTTACAACAGCAGCTTTCTCCTGCTGGCCTACTATTGCTGTCCCCTGGAGATGAGGCTTTGGAGAAATAATCATCAGCCAGTTCCATTCAGGCATTCACCCCTCTCCTGAGATTCACAAAAGGGTGATGAAGTACATGTTTGTGTGCTTTTTAATGTGATCAGCAGACGCTCCGTGATGACCACAAAGAGTATCTGAAAGACAGAAAAAAACAACCTAGGTGGTTTTTGAAACAGCAGTGACCTGAAGTAGATGTTTTCAAACCGTGAATCTCCTTTAGAGCTGTTGTGTGTCAGGTATGTTGCACTTTAATCAGGATTTCAAAAGAGTACAAACAAAAACATGGGTAGGAAAAGGAAGAGTGGGTTACTGGCCTTGCCTAAAATTCAGAGGTAGCAGAGAGCTCACCAGAGAAATGCACACCCTTGCACACGTGCTATAGCACACAAATCCCATTTATAAATATTGCAGCAGAGGAAGGTACAAATGTAGTCATTTGTGATTTCAATAATTTATATCAATACACGATTCATGAATTCAGTATTTGCACATTTGGAGAATGCTACGGCTGAAGAGGATCTACTGGGAATGCAAGAGATGGGTAAATAATGGCTTCCATGTCTTTTCAGCACCTTGGAAGAGTAAGCTACAAAATTCAAAGATCCAGGTAATTCCTGACCTTAAAATTGCTGCCAAATACATGAATGAATGCAAGTCATAAAGCAAGAAAAAAATTACCCATGAACCTGAGTGTTGAAAACTGTCTAAACACTGAATTTGTAACTCTTAAGTCTGCAGATATATCTTCCTATACACAAAAGCAACTCTATTCAAAGATATCAGCAGCTCACTTTTCTTTGATTTTAGTACTGTAGTACATATGTGTGTGCATGTGTATGTATATTTGTTGGGTGCATAAAATACTCTTCTATCTATCTCCTCAATAGATTCCATTTCCAAATCAATGTATATCAAAATGCCATGTGATATGTAGTCCACTGCAAAACCTTCCAAGGACTCAAAATAGTTTTGGGTCCTTGACAGAATTTCACCAGCAGATGTAGTGACCAGTAACTAGGAGAGTGGGGAAAGTGCATCATTATCACTTTGTAAATCTGACTCTGAGGTATATAAGGTTCTTGATAGCTTTGGGAGATAGCAATGTCAGTAGCAAGAGACTTTGCTTCTGTTGGGTTCTTTTTTAACTATTTTTATTTCCATGTTTCAAAATTAGGGATGTTGGGGTGTGTTTTGATGGGAAGCAGGGCAGAGTCTCTTCTGCTGTGAGACCAGTGTGTCATCTGTCATGCTTGGTGGCAAGAGAGCTTTCTTTTCTCAACATGAAACACAATTGTTGCCAGAGGTAGGAACTTGGGCTTAGCTCTGATTTATTTATGTTATTTTTGTCATGGAAAAATGAAAAATTCAGGCAAATATCTTCAACAGAAAACTGATGACCAGCTGAGAAACAACAGTCGAAACAAGGTGGGGAGATTAGAGTGGTTTAGTCTTTTGAAGAAAGATTTGATTACATTTTTCTAGCTGTCACAATTATTGATGGTTTAATCTGTAAGTCTTTTTGTGCCAACCTAATTTTCATTGATGACATGAAAATTTTATGACTCAAAAATTACTTTTCATTTTTATAGGTGATTTTAAAGGGAATTTTAAAAATAAAACTTCAAAGCTCCTGTTAAAGTGAATAATTCCTGCCTCAACTGTAACTAGCATTTATATTCATACGTTGATGTAGACACTGCAACCACTTTCAACGCAACCCGATAATTCTGGCTACTGTGATTTGTTACCGGTATATTGCCACAGTCACTGAACGGTAGGAGAGGTGATGCAGTCGTAAAAACCCACCACCGTGCTTATTTTTGGAGTTGTCACAAATGGTAGTGCAACAGCAGATGGGAAATCTTCAGAAAGTTCTCATCCAAGTGTAGCTTGAACTGCTTAATGAGAAATGGAAATCTCCTGCTGAATGTGCTTTCAGTTCTTCTTTTAATAAAGAGTAAGAAAAGCCCCAAGAATTATTTATTGTTTGTCTCTGAAAGTGTCGTTCAGAAACACAGCATCACAATGAGGGGCTCTACTTTATGTATGGTTTTTCCTTCAAAAAGGTAAACTATTCAACTGAGCCATCAAGGAGACAGAATCTGAGCGATTAAAGCATCTTCTTGCAGGGAAAAAATAATTGGCAGTTGCAGTTTTTTGTTTGATACAGCTCTGCCCTAAAAATTGAAAAGAAAAATCCTGTTAGGATGTGTTGTTGAGAGTTGTGTTTTATAATGCAGACACTATAAATTACAAAGAAATAAAATGAAGATGCTAGTCATGTCCTTATCCAGATAAGCTGTGCTCTCATGATTAATCATGTCACCAGAAATCCATGTAGTCTATAACTGCTTGTCTTATTTATCTGTTTATTGGGCTGTCAGATGTTCCCATTTTATTAAATGCTTGCTCTCTACTGAGAAGGTACTTAACATTTTGCATCACTGTGGGCTTTTTCCAGGGCTCCAAGCTCCACAGCTTGGTAGTCCCATTTAGTTTCTGCTGTCCTTCAGGCAACACCATCTGTCAGCTGCTCCTCAGTTCCCACATCAGGGCCTTGTCACCTGCGAGGACAAAGTTCTGATTAGAAGGCCTTCATTAGGTCTAGGGTGAGGTGCCCCTGCCCATGGCAGGGGGTTGGAACTGGATGAGCTTAAGGTCCTTTCCAACCCAAGCCATTCTGTGATTAGGGGCTGTACTTTTTTCAGTATCTAAGTTATTTGTAGGAGCTGTCCATAAGGGTAGACATTCTCTAACATCTGAATGTCCCCTTTCTCCCTGTAGCACATGCCAGCTAAGTGACAGTATGAGGGTGTCCCTACCTCAGGGGAGAACTTTCTGTTTTGAAAAGAAGGTTTCTGAGGGCAGTTCAATGTATTTTCCTTCAGGGTATGGTACTTCCCAGATGCAAGTTCACAGTCTAAGCCCTAGGCTTGCTCTGTAGTCAAGGAAGGATTTCCAGAGGGCAGATCTGAGCCACAGTTAGGCTTACTTGTCCTCTGGAAATGCCTCTGTGTCTCTCCCCACTGTAGTAAGAGCCCAAGGTGATCAAAGTTACCACAGAGGAGCAAAGAAGTGGAGCAGCCAAAAAGGGTTTAGTTTGGCAGGAGAACTGCAAGACGGGGGCAGCAGAGGGGCAGCAGCTTCTGATCAGACTTGTCATAAAGTGACTGGAACTTCTGAGTGTTGAAGGACAGGAAAGCAGAGGAATTCACAGCTGGAAATGACTTTTTAGAAACATTACTGAACATTAAAAAATGTGACTTGATGGATAGAATAAACAGGGCAAAACGCATCCTGTGTTCCTACCCTTTGTTCTTCCAGGTCACGAATTATTAGTCTCTAATTTCTGTGCATGGTCCTGGCAGCTGACATTTTCAGAGGGAAAATTGCTGGTTTGTAAGGAAGGAAAAGGGAAATTGGGAATGAAAAAGATGACGCCAGAAATACTATTGAGTTCCAAGAGATATGGAAAGTGAGTAAGCAGGAGAGGATCTTGATGTGATTAAATTAATTTGCTGAGATTTCACCAAATTAGTTTGGTTTTGAAACATTAATATGCACAGGATGCATGTTATGTGTGTGCACGTAAGTAGGATACAATGCATAGGGTGCACAATATGCGTATGCACATTAAAAGGATAAAATCAAGGAAAGCAAACTCTGTCACCTCCCAAGGCTGTATTAGTTGTGCATTAACTTCTTTTTAGCATGACAACTTGCTCTTAAAAACTCCCATTGATGAAGGATCCCCATTCTTGCCTGGCAGTGTATTACACTGTTCAGCCATCATTATTTGTTTTCCTAATAGCTACTACAAATCTTACTTGCTGCTGTTTAAATCCATTGTTTCTTGTCCTATTCGTTGTGGAGAAGGAGTAGCAGGACATGCTTCTCCTGTTTGCAACAGTCTACTACATATTTGAATAGTTATCGTGCCAACTCTAAGCATTCTTTGCTCTAGCCTTTGCACCCCTCACTTACTCAGATATATGTCCTAGGCTGTTGTTACACCCAGCTGTTTCACATATTTATTAACAAACGTACTCAAAACTGCCCAGGAAAGTCTAGTCAAGACCATCTATCTCAGTTTCTAAATGATGTGAAAATATGTCCATATGCTGAACAGGCAGCATTCCCATTTGCATGTCCCAGGGTGATGCCTACCTTATTTGTAATGGGAGACCGTTATTAATCCACCTCTTTAAAGTCTACTCTAATACCCTGATATTTTTTTCCACGGTTAAGCATATAACTTCCTGTCTTACGGGTGAAACTGGTCAACTGTTACAGATACAGTTGAAGATACTGTACAGAAGTACTGTACGTTGTACCTCTTGTCATATAAGTGCCATAGGTTTTTTTTTCCTAATTCTATCCCAATCTCTACTGTGCTTGCAGCTACATCCACCTTGAGCTCACCAGAAAATGTAATAACCATGTTCTCTGTTTTGTCATTCTTGGCACCCCTGCAGTGACTGGGCCTGGGACAAACCGCTGTAATATCCCTTAATAGAGGTACATCCATAGCCAGCCATTATAATTGCGCTCAGACGATCCTTTTCCAAACGCTTGCATGCCCACTTTTGAGTGGTTCCATCAGAAAGCAATGATGCATCTTACACAACTTCTTCCAGTATGCCCAGTTCAACCTCAGCTTTCGTTTTTGGCTGCACTTCATAATGAACTCTAGTATTTGTACCGCTGCCTTCTATCTTCCTGGCTGGCCTGATTATTTTCCAACAACTTTTGTAATTCTCCTTGAAGAACTAAATTGCTATCTGTTATGTACAGTCCATCTGTCATTATGATAACTGTTCCTCTCCTCATAATATTTCCATGTGGACTTTAATTGGCAAGCTTTTGTAGCTTGGCAAAGATTTAATGAACTTTGTCTTTACTCTGAAGAACAAATTTCAAAGGCAGGAACAGTAACAAGTATAGCTGCTACTCGCTCATAACATGCTCTGGGTTTATGGTCAGATATCTCTTTACTGATGCATGACATTGCAAAAATAGGCAAACCTGACTTTTTCTAGCATATGCTTTTCTACACAGCCACCTTTATTTGGATAAAAAAGGCTGTGGAGAGCTCTCACAAGGCAACTTCACAGCCTTTGCTATACAAACCCCGTGTAACTTCAGGGCGTGTTGTTTCAGCTTGCTGGCTGCACTGAAGGCTGCTGCTTGTGATGTTAGATGGCTCTCTGCTGTGCCTGCTCCCACCTTGGAATAAAGTCACTTCTCTCAGACAATATATTGCAAAATTTTCATTGAGAACAGTTTAGAAGAAAAATGCCTGCAAGTGTATTAAAGCATAAATCTTCTGCTAGTGCCTAATAACAAAGGTCTGCTAGGCCAGCATCTTGGATTTAAAATCTCAAGTAGGTTGAAGGTAATTATGATCACGTATATGCAGCACTGTACATTGTGGCTCATATAATTAGAGGTCTTATTTCTCCACAGACTACTCAGAATGTAGCAAATCCTTACAGACTGCAACACCTTCCACTTTGATTCTTCGAAGTGTTGATGAAGTTTCCAAGGCCTCTCGGAATGTCCTTTTGTGGTTTTATTTGTTTGTTTGTTGGGAAGGGGGAGATACTGTTTGTTTGTGGTTTGGTTTTGATTTTTTGTAGAGGCAAGAAGCTCTGACCAGAACTGTTATGTGGCTTTAGGTGGGAACTTTACATGAAAGAACTCTGGTGTTGCGATTGTTAATATCCAGCTAAATCCATCAGAGTGCATTTCCTTTTTCTGAAGTAGTAGCATTGCATTAATTTGATTTCTAGTTAACTGTAGCAGTAGAAGTAGTAAAAATAGATTATTTCTTAAAGTATGGGAGAGTTTTCATTTTAGAGACCATTTAGGCATTGCTTATTTAGCAATCCATAATTTGTTATTTGCATCTATCTCTATGCTCTGCAGAAGAATTAACACTCTGCCTCGAAGAGTACTTCAGATTTAGGTGATGATAGCGGTTCAGGACTATAAGGGCTTTCTCCTCATTCTGAGTCAGGGATGAGAAGTACAGAATACAGTAGAGAATATATATTGTTGTAAGCACCAGCTCTTTGATAAGATAGAGAAGAGGGATTACGGCTGTTAGGCACTTCTACTGTCACTTTTGAAAAATGCAACATTATTATTCCTTATGGCCAGGGACTTCAGATCTAATAACTTTATTCTGCATGCAGTTAATCTAATTTTTGCCTATTTTTTTATCTGATACTTTGGTTTGTTGCTTTTGTTTCTTTACATCTAATATCAAGTAGCAAAGTAACTCAGCCTATCTTCCGGATGTGGCTTTCTTTTAATGGTAAATAAAATAACATGTAGGCAAGTTACCAGTCCTTTTCATGGTATTGGAATATTTTGCATGTAGAACATTCAGCATGAGAGATCATTACTCGCTAAAGTTCAGCTGGTGCTTGGCAAAGCTCTTGGTGTTTGCTGTTCTTCTGCAACAAGGGAGATGCGTTTTGAAGAGAGGTAGTTGACTGGGGACTTGGTGGAACTGTTTGCATGGATTTGAATGAGAAGGTTTACCAGTTTTAACAAATTCCAAATCGCTGTATGCTTTCTTGCTCCCGCTATTCTCATGGTAACAGAGGCCTCTGATTCATGATGCTGATTTGAGGGCTTGCCAATTATTTTAAGTGTGAAAGGAAGGACTAGATTACTCCTTTTCCATTTTTCTCTTTTTTCCTTTCTCTGTTTATTCACTTTTTTGACTTCCTTCTTGAAGAACTGGCCTTAATTTCTCTCAGAAGTAATCACTCTTTCAGAAATGCCACTCGCACCATCTCTTCCTGCATCAGCAGCTCCCTAGGTTTGGAAACCCAGGAAGCCTGGCTTTGAAAACACTGGATAAGTAACTTCAAATTCCTTATGAACAAAGGAAAAAAGAAAAGGCATTGGATTTTGGAAATTCATACACAAAGCTCTTTTTGAAACTATTTGTCTTTCTCTTGGTGAGAAGGGAGCTATGGTGGTTGCTGAGAGAAGAGGTGGTGCAATAAAGCCAGACACAAATGATTAACAGAGGTAAAGAGAGGGCTGAGGGAAGTTATTTATATTAAATAGGTTGTTGAAAATCCTTTAACACATACATTTGTTTCTTTCTTTAAGCTGTTAGTATTTTATCTAAAGCTCTTAACAATTCATTAACTCATTAGAGCACAGTCTCCAGCTGAGCACCCAAGTAGGAGCTTTCAGTGTTACTGCACCAGCCAGGCCATCTTCTGAATCAAACTTTGAGTACAGGCTTCATGAAGGGTTTGAATTCAGTTTGGTTACTGCTGGAAATTGAAAGTTGACTAAACTGAGCTTGTTTTAAATAATGACTGAGCTTAGAATCTGGTTCATGATCTGTTCACTATAGACTAAACAGGTTTTGAAAGATATTAGGAGGATTAATACCTTCCCAATAGTCTTTGGCAATGGCATTAGCATTTGTAAGTAAACACTAATAAAATTCCAAATTTAAGCCCACTTTTCATCACTGTGTGGACACCACTTGCTGATGAGAAGTCACTGTGGAAATGAATAATAAGGAGGAGCTGCCAAAATTTGTCTTCACTTGAATGGTGCCATGGTCCAAGTTACACAGCTTCAGTAGTGGGAGACAAATGAGCAGTGATTATCATTTATTCTCAGGAGCAATGGTGGTATGAATGGCTCTATCCAAAATAATCAGGGTGTTGGCTATAAGCCAAAGCAAAGGAAAGAGCAACACATGGTGTTGTACAGATTTGGACAGTTGTATAGCTTCTGACTGTGGAAAAATCTAAAGTGAATGGATGGGAAGGAGGGTGGAGGGGGAAAAGATGTTCTAATACTGTCATTTGAGAAGATGTATAGCTGTGAGATCAGACTTCCTAGTGCATGTACCTTTAAAACACAAAAAAAAAAAACAGTATTCTGTCTCCTGTATGCATTTCTTCTGTACTCAGGAGGCTTACACAGTGCTTTCCACCCTTTTCTCCACATGAATCAAACACCCCCAGTCCTCGACTAAGTGGGAGGTCTATCCACCAATCATGTCCTGCTCATTTGATTTCTAAAGTAGTAGTTAAAGCATAAAAGTTTGTGTGAGAATATGAAATGCTTCAACCCACTTTTTTTCTGGTTAGTTGTCTTTCTCTTTTTCTAACTTACCTGTTCACTTTAGATAATGGGATTGGTGCTTAGAAGGTGTCTTAGAGCTCCTGCTGGATAGGCAAAGAAATGTTTTCTGCTCCTGCAGCGCTGGTAGAGTTCCTGCTGCGTGGTACTGTTAATACTTGCTCTACATACATTCTGATTTTATTTCTCATCATCAGACACCCAAAAAGAAAAGCAATACTGTGCTCTCGGTTGGAAGATCAGGACTGAAAAGACTGAGATCTAAGTTCTTTGGGAAAGGCTGCAGTCCCACTGGATTGACAGCTACTGCACCCCTTTGTGTTGAGGTGGACTCATTTGGAGGTTTGGTTTCTTTTTAACTACTGAAAGAGGTGGGCAGAACAGCATCAGATTTATTATATAGTAATCCAGTACAAGAGTTGTCAGTGCCATATTATGATGGAGCTCTTTACTTACTGTATTTTGCACATTGCAGCCCTCTATGAGCTGCCTTCCATCATCAGCACTCTTTTGAGGATCTTAATTTGTGTAACCACTATAGGAGAGGCTCTGAGCAAATTTTATCCAGCCTGAGGCGCTACACATTAAACAGTCTTGTGAACCTTGGAACTAATGAAACCAGATCTTCTACTTCATTAAACTGACAGTTTATTGAAGTTTTCATTACTGTCATTCATTTTTTGCTAGTTTGTTAGATTTGTTATGTTCATCCCTCTATAGAGTTGCAGATGAGGTCACTGAAGGGAGCTGTGTTTGCAATAGAAAAGAAATGGGGAAAAAAAGAAAAAAAGAGGCAAATTATGAGCTACTTTCTTTGTTTTTAAAATCAAAGTCAGTTGTAACAAGCAGCAGACTTCCTGAGCATCCTACCCGCTGCATTGCAGAGATAATGTGAATGACAGCCATTGTGATATCACCTTGGGGAACAGCTCCAAACAGCCATTCTTTAACAGCCGTCTTATCATCCTACTGGCTGATTTATACATTAATTAATTATATATGGCATAAACTGTAGCCTGGTAAAAATGATATGAGCCATTTCAGGACAGGGAACATGATATTTTGCCAGCACTAATAAGAGGCTACAGCTTTATGTCAACCTGACAATATAGAGTCTCGGGATTGACGGTGTTTGTCTTGGCCTGAGCTTGTAGCTTGGTTAACACCTTCCAGCAGCCACCTGACTTGTGCCTAAGATGGATAGGCTTTAGCTCAGTGAGTCTCATGGTCAGAAAAGCACAGACAGACCCCACTATCCTTGTGTACTCTACAGCAGTGCTTTGATTAAGTGAGGCTGTGTGCAGCTTTCAAAGTTTGGCTGGGATGTGATGAAGAGGAATGAGATTGGGATGAGAAAATTAACAATTAGTCCCACGTAGACCCAAGACTGAAGAAGGAGGAAAATCCCACCATTAAGGTCCTCCCAGCAAGGACTTCAGAATGACAGTGGTGTGTTGTAACTCTACCGCCACCAGCATGAGATGAGAGAGACTGAAATGGTCAACCTTAGGACCTTAATGCTGCACCTAAACAGTGAACATAACACCAGAGAACAGGATTGGTATTGGCTGTTTTGTCTAAAAAACGTAACTGCACCGTCAATGAGGTTTTTCTCTGTTACTGAGATAATTAGGGACCATTGGACAGCTAAAAGAGTAACAATGAATTCTTATCTCAATGGATAGTGTGCTTTCTTTTGCCCATAACAAGATATTGATGCTAACAAAATAACCCAACAGTAAATTTGGTGCTGAATTAACATAGCTGCATTTGTACTTATGGCACCAAAACTGTGAGTTATTTTGTTTTATGCTACATACCAACTACGGTAAAGAGACCAGTCTTGCAACATATCTTGACTAAGTGCTGAAGCAGTTCTAATTCCTTCTAGTTAGTTAAAACATGCTCTGGTTCTAACAAGCTGCACCACAAAGCTTAGTGCCTTGCTCTCCAATTAGCAAAAGCCAGATATTATCCATATCAAGGGTAAACTTGTCTTTCCCTATTCCTTGATATTCCTCATCAAAGCTTTAATTTACTAGGCTCCTGCCTTTCAAACCCAAACTTGATTCTCCCTTACTTGAATGGGGTGCTAAAATCCTCATGTACAGGCAATGGGTGATGAGACATTGTAAATTCTTAATAAATCTTGCCTCCCATACTGTGAAATTTAGAAAGTGAGCTCTCCCAGGTGGATTCCCCAGTGGCTTACAACATATCAATCTGAATTTTCCTTCCCTCGTCATGGCTTTTATCATGAAACTTGAAGAAACTTACCCATTTCTCTGTCAACATTGATGGAAACTGAGCTGCAAATTCAGCGATTACCAGGGGCCCAAATTCTCTTATTTTCTCACCTTTCCACATGATTTCATGTGTACAGATCCTCCTGATTTACTTCACAGAATCTTGAAAAGCATCTTTTCCTTTGCAAACCAGACTAAAACATCATTTTAACCTATGAAGAAATAGCACTGGGCTTGTTTCTTGTTCACATACTCTACAAATACAGTGTCTGAGTAACGACGGAGACTTTCTGAAGTGTTTTCTCTCTTGATTTGATTTGCTATTGAGTCAACATATTATGCTGTGATGGCAAGCTTGTATTCCAGTATACAGGATGCTTTTAAATTACCATAGGCACTAAAGAACGTAATGACTTATTATGGTTTGTTGTCTGCCTTTTGGTTGTGTGTGTGTTATTTACTATACTCATGATATTTACTTCTTCCTCACATTTGCCATGCTTTCATTGCCTTAATGGTCAGAGTAAATATTTTACGTTACAGTAGGAGTGGTAAAACATATTCCATAGTGAGAATGAAGTAAACAACCCAATACTGTATCTTTACTCTCTAATTCCATAGAACTGAGGGGGTTTCAGTTTTGTTTTGGTCTTAAATCTCAGAGCATCACTGCTGAAGTAAAGTTTACCTCTAATTAAAACTGGCCTACAAGCCTGATAAAATATTCTTGTGTAACCAATTCCTCTACTTGGGGCATACAAATCTACTACATGATGAAATCAGTTTCTCTAATGATGCAGCTGGCAAAACCAAAAACATTATTCACAGCTAGCAACAAATTTGAGAATGCTTCAACAGCCCCTCCACTTATTCTTTAACACAGCTTTAAGGTCATTGCTCCAGTGATAGATACACCCTAAAATAACAGACATGGAGTAAAAGCCTGAGTATAACTACATGAGGGAAATGGGGTGCAAGGGGACACAAAGGGTGCACTTTTTGTAATTGTGGCCTGCATTAAAATGATATTGAGCTGGGCCAGGAGTCATATCCCGGATTAAAGATCTTTAGGAAAGAGTTTCAGCAAGAGTCAGCAATTTCTTCCTCCCTGCAAAGAAGTTAAGCTTTTCTTGGGATACACCACTTGCAGTGTATAGCCTCAAGTGTAACACAGATTTATTTGGCTTAGCATCTTAAGTAGGTGATATTTGCAAGAGTATTCCCTTCTCCTCTTCTTGCCAAGGCAGGAAATAATATTAATCAGCTTTGCTAAAGTCATTTTGCTCCATTATTTCAGGTAGAAAGACCCATGGGAAGCCAAGGTCAGAACTCAACAGAAGGGAATAAAAACTTAGGGGAGCAACAAGGAGGAAAAGAAAGGAATGAGGAAACAAATATTAAAACAAGAGAAGAAATAAAGGAAACACACAAAGTATAGAGATCCTGATCAGTAGTGATGTTCAGGTAAAGTATTAATTTTAAGCCTTTTAAAGCTTAAATACTTTGGAGCATTGGGCTAGAGGTATTGCCTAAATACCAAATTGCACTAGTTGAAATAAAAACTGTCAGGTAGCATGTCCCAGTGCTAATTAAGCCAGTACAAATTGGTGTTCTAAAATATACTGATTTAAGACCTTGGTTACGTTTGTGAATTTATCCCAGTCTACAGAACAGATTTCACAGGTGAAATTAACAAGCCAGGCAAAAGTACATGTCATGCTTCCACAAGGAGTGCTTTGGTTTACAAATGAACATGTGCTAACGGCAACCTACAACTAAGTTCACGGGAATTACACTATCGTTTGGTACTTCTGCTATTGCGAGGCTGCCAAAGCTTGCTATTAATCTTGGTTTTCCCTTCCTGCTTCTGTTCCACTGCCACTTTTGCTATACAGAGAAACCTCTCTTGAGCTCTGTGCTAGCAGCTTTACCCATCTCTTCCTTTTTTCCAGCTGTGCTGTCAATCTCCTGTCTGTCCTTTACGGTTCATAGGCAGAACCTTGGAATGTGAGTAATAACGGTGCTTTAGTGATCTTTAGTGATTATACCCCCATGACTGGGCTGATACATATTGAATCTCAATTTGAAACATCTTCCTCATTGGTATTTGGATATCATGGTGAGAAACCTATTAGTAATGTCCCTGATAGAATATTCCTGCAGTGGAAGCCTGGGCATGACTTGGCACTGTTGGGGAGGGAGTAACTTCAGCCATGGCCGAGGGAATTCAAACATCTGAAATGGTGTCAGGCAAATGTGACAGGTATTGTGGCATAGTCAACATAGTTTTGTAAAGGGCAGGCAAGGAAAAGCAGAGGATCTGCAGAGGTAGAGGTTTGCTGCATGTTTCATCAAATGCATGAGCAGCCCAGCTGGATGTGGCAGTCTGTCTGAAGACACAGGAGACAGATTTTCTAAGGTGACAAAGTACCAAAAGAAGAATGCAACCAACTACAGCAAAAATCTCATAGGTGCTAATCTGCATTTTAGGCACTTCAAAAATCTGACCTTGAGCCTTAAGTAACTGGCTCTCTGCTTTCTCATGGAGTAGATACTCCCCTCCATCCCTCCAAAAAAACCAAACCACAACTTGGTAGGTTTGTTCAATTGTAAATACATTTTCTAGAAATTTCTGTGCACATTTGTACATCGTGTACGGGGTCTTGTGCATAGAGAGCTTAATGAACAGAATCACTTTTTGGTTTAAATTTCAGACATTTTAAAGCAAACGCTGTATGTATAACGCCTTTGCACTTTCTTAGACTGCATATAGTCTTTATTAACGTATTTAAGGTAGATGCGGGATCACAGATAACAAAACTGACATCGATATTTTACATTTGATGTGCATACCACTTTAAAATTAAGCTCATTAAGGATAATAGAATGATCCATTGGCAGGCCTGCAGCTGCAGACCGAGAGGTGACAGGCTATTTGGTGAACAATTTACCAAGTGTCTCACTCCCTCCTCCGTCTTAACCATGGGCATTGTAAGTTCATTCTATTAACCTTAATAGGTTTGCTTTCAAAGTGTTTTACTCTGAAGATTTAAACGCGAACTCTATCATATGTCAGCCTGCAGCTAACTTAAGCAACTAAAGTAAAAGAAGATGCAATACATTTATCTATGAGCATATTTGTATGTATGTCCACAAGTAGTAGCATCTAATGCACATGAAGAGATGATGTACTGTGCCCTGCATGATGCTCTTCACTGTAGGTGTTTTGTTATTCCATAGGGTCTGTCCGGATTTTTTCTTTCAGTTAAAGAAGCATTACTGGCAGGCATCTCCAGCTAGCTGAGTGTCTTTGCATGCACTAGTTGGAAAGGTTGTGGGCGAGAGAGAAGCTTGTTTTCCTCAAGTAGCAATTCCAGCAGATAACATGAGGGCCCCTCTCTCTCCCAGCAGGACGTTCTTTTCACCTGGGACCCAAAGACAGAATTAGCAAGCAGTAACAGAGTTAGCATTTGAGTTGAGGGCAGGCTCAGGCAGCTTTGTTGTTGGGACAGAATAGCAGCCATTATCTTTTCTCTATTGCTGCTTTTTAGAGGGCTCATCAGGCAGTGCTGCTGCCACTTCAATGGAACCTAACAAAGACACTGAAGCACGCCCTCCATGCCTCCATCGTTTCCATCCCAGAGATTTCTCAAAGTGGCTCCCATCACAGTGATACTATCCCTGACTGATTTAGGTCCTTGCAGGCCTCAACATTTCTGTCTTTACTTTGATGAGTTAGAGCAGTGGCTTGCAGAGGTCATTACAACTGTAACTGTCAGCTATCAATAGCTTCACTTTTCATCACCCTTGGGGTCATCACCACAGCGAATGTTATATGGGCCTTGGCCAAACTTAGCTCAGCCAAGACACCAGTGATTTGTGAGCAGGACCTAGACCTGTTCTTACCCTGAGACACTATTCACCTTCTGATCTCCACTACCTTAGGTTCATGTTGACTGCCCTGCTTGCTCAAATGACTGCAGGTAAAGGCTGCCCTCTGCAGTTGTACAAGACCACTTCATTCCCCTGGGACAGGGGTGAGAACCTGATAGACCACCATGTAAAAAGCTACTGCAACTTACTTTCTCTCACTCAGAACACAGTGGCATATGGACATGGCGAGAGATGCAGGAAAGCATTCCTCACACCTCAGCAGCCCATGCCATCCCATCTGCTCTCACATCCAGTTAAACGATATTCACTTCCCAAATGCTGCCTCCTTGTGCCACCTACTGAGAGGGCTATGCTTGAGGAATAGCGCAGTTAGCAAGGCTCAGGATAGAGACATCAAGAACTAAAAATCCATGTATTTTTTTGGTGCTGTGGAATGCACTTATATTAGACTGTGCTGAAGATGTGGTCCTGAGAGGAAAATGTGGAGTGATTCTCCATACTGGCTGTCCCACACTGCGAAGACAATGAGAGTTCCAGACAAAAAAAGACAATCCTTCCAGGCAGAACAGAATGCAGCATCTCATGGGATTGTTCCTACTTCTTAACTCTTCTTGTGCTGCCAGGACACCACAGTGAAGGCCTCTCAGAAACTCCTAACCAGGTTGGTCAAACAGCTTGTGTAGCATCTCTGCCATCTGCATAGTCTCCTCACTCCACAAAGTCAAGAATACAGTCATAGCTATTAGACTGCACAATCTCTGTTTGAATTTGTCCATAGTGAGTTGATAGCAGCTGCTTAAGTAAAAATTCTTTATTTCTAAAAGTTATCACTTCAATACACAATCTCTTTCCAAAGTTTATCCTGCATTCATCTTCATGACAGAATATTGTTCATTAGCATAATAAATCTTCTCAATTTATATAGAATAGCTTGATAAACAAATGCCATCTGTCCATTCATTAGTAATACAGATTTATTTGTATTTGGCTGTTGATCTCAGGTTGATTTCAAAGTATGGGTATACTTCATTGATGCTGTTGTACAGATGAGGAAACAAAGGCGTAGAATGCTACAAACCAGATCTCTCCAAGATAAGTTAGTTCCTAAATTGATCCATACTTGAGGATATAGATCTGTGTGGTTTGATTCTGTCTACCCATGTCAGTAGTACAGCATGGATTAAAACTCGGCTCTTCTGAATGCAGTGTCTTGCCTAGTGAGCCACAGGATTATTCTACCATCATTTTCTTCTGCTTTACTGTGTGTCTCGATACAATCCATAAGGTTTATCTCCAGTCTGCTCTACACCACTACAGAAATAGGTTGCACTTAATACTACTTATTTTTTCTTTTTCTTTTTTTTTTTCTTTTAATGTATTATCATCTCCTCAGGACTTGTTGAAACAAATGTGAAGTTGGCTCTATTAACTGTTCCAGGACCTGGACTCGAAGAGTGTGTGTGTTAGATTCTGTCTGCCTGCATATAGTGCTGACTGTGTGTAGGTTTTTTGTTTGTTTGTCTTTTTTTTCTTCCCTGAATGATTGTACCTTTCAAATTGGTGGTTGGGTTTTAAGGAGGTTATGGGGACTTGAACTGTTGGCACAGGGGAATTGCAAGGATATAATGTCTATAATAAAGCATCCCATTTATCCACTGATGCCTGCATTTTTTTCAATTATAAAGTACTTAGGGATATTCAGGCAGATAGCTGAGCTAGCTAAACGTTCCTAACCTTATTATTCTGCACAAATACTGGAATAGGTACCAGAATGAACCATCCCAACCCGTTACTTTTAACACTGGTTCATTTTAATATAAAGTTAGCCTGTGGAGAGAAGGAGAAAATATTCTTCACATATATACACTGCACGAAACCTGACTGCCAGTCCTATACAGACTGTTCTAGTTTAGCAATAAAATTGGAATAGCAGGAGGAACAAATACCCATACTTTACAAGCAGCTTGTTTCAGAAGTCACCAAGAGGGACCTCTGAAGGTACTTGGGTAATTTTGAGTCTACCTACTTTCCAGTCAAAAGGCTTCAGATACACGTTCCCAGTTACTGAGATCTGCCATAGTTTTTTAACAGTACCAAAAGTACTTTTCAGTCAAGTAGAGAGACAGGACTCCTGTTCTGGGTGAAGGATGGCAAAAGGGAATGGACAAAAAATAAACCATTAGATGATGATGTCTGGCATTACCAGACCAATTTGTCTTTGGTCTAGGGAAGGGACATTATGCTGTGAATTCTAGAGACAGGTCCTATCATTTTGTTGGACAACATCCTTAAATACCTCTAGACCTTGCAGTCCCAACTAGATTGGGCGATTTCAAAGAAGGAAAAAAGTTCTAAAAGCAACTAATGGTACTATAAATTAGCCTCAGCTGTTTACCTGACTATTGATCATCCTAGGGAAACACAGCAGACCCTGCAGGCTTTAGCCCTGTTGTATAAATCCCATTTAAATCCCCTTGCAATTCATGCTGACTTCCCTCTTCTTTCCTTGCCAAGTCTCAGAAGATGTTCTGAGTAAATAAAAGCTGCTGCCCTGCTAATAACCCTTCAACTCTTCCCATCTGATCAGTTTTAGTCATGCTGAAGTGCAGTGCTAGTCAAGTCATAACTATGCTCTATAGAAGCTGCTTCTGTATGAATGACTGCTTCTCTGAATAGTTTTCCTAAAGAAGAGGAAGCTATCTGGAATCTGATAAGAATAATTTTTACATATATAAATATATATAAAATATGTAAATGGCAGTTTCTGCATACACAGGCCAGTCATCAAGTCTGTGCAAAATTAATGGTGAATATTATCAGGTGAGAGGCATGACTGGGTGGCTGGTTACCAGAGGAGGTTAAAACGTCTGAACACTCCCTCAGCCTTTCCTGCAAATCATTCAGGAACCTGCTCTGTCAGACAGCCTCATCTGTCACTCAGGAGCTACATCTGCTTGCCTGTTTATTTTCTTACTTAGGGTTGAGGTCACCTGCCCTCCTTTTAGCTAATCAGAGGAGACAGCAGTAATCAAAGCACAAGATCAGTGCTCTTGGGATGTCTTTCTTGAATAGCCTCCCTGTATGTTCTTCTGCAGACCTTGCAAAGTGATGTAGACATATACATGCAGAGGAAAAGAACAGGGGTTTGGTTTGAGGTCCAGCTAGAGGAAAAGAAATATTTCTGAATCTTATATGCTACCTGGAAAAACAGGCCTAATATTTAGTGAGGAATTTCCTCTGTTTTGACAGGAAAAAAGCTGTTGCTAGTTTGTTAGATGGTAGCTCTTCACAGGGAAATTCAACCGATATCCTATCACAGAAGTGCAAAAAGCAGGTGAAAGTACTTCTTCAAAGAAGTACATCAGTGTCCGTACTGCTCATTGTTGGAGAGTATGCCAGGCTGGGTAGTTACTCACTTTGCCTTTATGAAACTTCTTCCACTAGATACCTTTGTTAGGCTCTGCTAAACAGTATTAAATGGTTTCAGGCCCTGCCTTAGAGATCAGTGCATTTCAGCATCAACATAAACTATTCCTGTAGAGATGACTCTTAAAAAGGGCTTTATACTGTGGATGAGAGGTTTGTACCTGAGAGACAGGGCAGTGAAAGAAAGCCAGAGATAAGGGAGAGAAAGCACATCTGACTTGTTTGCCCTTTGCCTAGCTGTGGGGTGGGCTGGCAGTTTGCCGTACCTTGCAGACCCTTGAGCATCTTGAAAGGATTTAAAGGATACCAGTGCCAGCCTGCTCTCTCAAGACTGACTTCTGTCTGTAATGCTGTTGTTGTGATGAATCACACATTGCTGTGATTAGCAGAGAAAGGTGCAATTTTTTGCAGCTGTGGCTGGTAAAGGACTGCCTGGAACTCCAGGCCTGGCAGAGATGGAAAAAGCATCATGTCAGGTATGAAGAGAGCAGAGATATGGATATTATTGCATTTACAGGAAAAAAAAAGCAGTATGTTAAGAGAAGCAAAAAAGAGGAGGAAGGCTTGTAAATGAACACTATCCAGTAATGGGGCCCTGACTTGGATGGATCTTCCCTCTGGGTGGGTATGGCTGTTCTCATGCCTAAGAAGCCACTCCTCCTTATCAGCAACTACCTATACCAGATGGTACTCCCCAAGAACAAATAAAACCAGGAAATCAGAGACACTGACAGATACTGAAGAAAAATAAGCTATCCTGGAGAAGGTTTAATAGTTTTACACAGCACTAGGAAAGTGCCTGGCAAAACTGAAAAAAAAAAGAGACAGTATGGAAGAGGAGACAGCTAAGAGGAGGAGAGCACAAACCAGCTGCATGGCAGTCCCCCTATGGCCTCTTGGGAGGGAGGGCAAGCTGCTGCTTCCTGATGCCGGTTAACCTGCTTAAAGAATGATGCTGGGATGGTATCAAAGTCCCTAATAGTGTTTGAAATTAAAGTTCTCAGTGGAGAGGGAAGAAAACTTTCAAATGACACAAAAGTGAAACAAACCACTTTCGATTTCTGTAGTGTAAATGACAGTTACCTCTTGATGTCCTTAATATATTTTCCTCTAATTTCTCTCATTGTCAAGACATGAACACTTCCAATGCTTCTGAATTTGTCAGTCTTTGTAGACCAAAGCTGCTTTTAGAGTACAATCTCTTATATGTAGCAAGACACCTTATCCAAGAGGGCCAAAGCAGAGGCCTAGTGCTTGCACCATTCAGACCCAAGACACACCTGCAGCCACTATAGACTTTTGGTATCATGCAGGACAAACATGGCCCATCCTAACCCCACACTGGAGTCACTTAAATTCTGTTGATCTGAGTATGAATCCCTGAGTGTGGACAGAGTAGCAGGCTGACATGTTGGCCCCTCTTCCCTCCCAGCTGACTGGAAATATCAACTACCACAGAACTGTAGAGTCAACTGGGTTGGAAAAGACCTTGGAGATTGAGTTCAGCTGGTCCCCCAGCACTGCCAAATCCAGCACTAAACCAGATCACTAAAAGCCTCATCTACATCTTTTTTGAACACTTCCAGGGACAGTGATTCCACCACTTCCCTGGGCAGGCTGTTCCAATGCCTGAGCACCCTTTGGGGAAGACATTTCTCCTAATATCCTAGTCTAAACTTTCCCTACTGCAGGTTGAGGCCGTTTCCTTTTGTCCTGTCACTCATCACTTGGGAGCACAGACCAGCCTCCTCCTGGCTGCATCCTTCTGTCAGGCAGCTGTAGAGAATGGTAAGGTCCCCCCTGAGCCTTCTCTTCTCCAGACTAAACCCTCCAGGTCCCTCAGCCATTCCCCATCACACTTGTGCTCCAGGCCCTGCAGCAGCTCCGTTGCCCTTCTCTGGCCCCGCTCCAGCACCTCAATGTCTCTCTTGTAGTGAGGGACCCAGAACTGAGCACAGGATTCGAGGTGCGGCCTCACCGGTGCCCAGCACAGGACAATCACTGCCCTGGCCCTGCAGGCCACACGACTGCTGATACAGACCAGGGTGCTGTTGGCTTCTTGGCAGCCTGGACACAAGCTGCTCATGCTCAGCTCTGACAGTCAGCACCCGCGGGTCCTTTTCATATCACAACCTCATCTTCCAAACACCTCCAAACCGAGACCTCACCCTCCCGCCTTGTCCCACCCCAGGGTGCCTCTGCGAAGCACCCGCTCGGCGCCGCGCCGCGGGGGGACCGGAGCCGCGGGCTCTGCTGCCCTCTGCTGTGGTGCCGGGCCGGGCAGCAGCCTGCGGTGGCGGTGCGGGGCGAGCTCCGCGCACTGCGGGCTGGGGAACCGCGCTGGGTACGCTTGTTTTGGTTTCAGTTTCAGCGGACCGAGAGCTATCAACCACTTTGGTACTGAGCGAACCGTCCGTCACCGGCTCTCAAAGCAGAACACTTCCAGTCCCGACAGTGACATGCAGGTATTTTTATTGATGGTGCCCATCGCTCCGCCATAAGTGACCCCTCCGCGCTCTAAATGCTCAATGAAAAGGAAATCAACGCGGCCGCGCTTTCAGAAGGCGAAAAAACGAGCACGCCACCGTCCTCCTAAACGCCGCCGTAGCGAGCCGGCATTGCTCCGGTGCCGGAAGCGTCACGGAAGGGCGGCGGGAACCGCAGCCCCAGGACGCAGAGGGGAAGGCCCGCACTGGGACGGGAGTGCACGGCCGCACCTCTCCCGCCCCTCGGTGCCCGCACTGCCCCTGACCCGCCCGCTCCCCCTCAGCACAGGCCCCGGCGGCAGCCGCCGCTCAACCGCTCCCCCTGCCCCGCCTTCCCGCCGCTGAATCCATCGCCGAGCAACGGATGGCGACGGCGATCGATTCTCTCGTCTTGCCTTTCACCTCCACACCCCCTCTTCCCGCCGGGTCAGACGCACCGCCCCGGGCGCG